GTTTGCCGATTAAATGTGAGGAATTCTTTTATCAATTCTTTACGTCGCAATATATAGAACTGTGTCGTTGCTCTTGACAGCCCCCACACTTCTCTTCTATAAACTGTCTAAGGAATTTCTGAAGGTGAGAATTTTCTCTTAAAATTTATCCCGAAAATCATGTACTCGTGTATGTAAAATGTATGGTAAAATTTCAAAAAAACTCTCATAAAATTCTCCGAAATGCGATGTTGTCCCCACGACTTTCAGGGTAAATTTTAAGAGGAAATTCCCCCCCCCCCGTGTGCAATGTCATACAAAATAGTTTCTTCCCGCTTAAATTGTCGTTCCTTAAAATCTGAGGACCAAAAATTTTGATTACGATTTTGCCTGTGTGGAATTTAAATCGTCACCCGAAGGAGGTATGTTGTCATTTCCTAAAATGGCAATATTTCCATTAAGTTAATGAGGACGAAAACACGATTAAACTATGTAAGCTACACAAAATCGGTGCCGCGCTTAGACAAGATGTAACCGCGTTGCTAAAAATGCGCACGTATCCAGAAATACACGTACATGTAGGTATGTGTGTGTATGCAAATGTAGGCAAGGGTAAGCGTATTTCTCAATGCGCACCTTAGACACTCCTATTTTTATGATCGTCTCGTAATTTTTCGCCTTTTTTTTCGCGAACGCGGAACGCATATATAAATGCGCGTTCTATCGGTGACTCAGTAGACGCTGCGAAGACGTTTTTACGGCGCACGAACGAAAAGCGCGTCCCGAGAAGAGCGCCTCGTCTCTCATTTTGTGGTCACAGTGTTATCGAAGGTCGCGATTTCTCGCTCAAAATGTCACCGTGCACGTTCAAAGTCCGACGAGAGATCGTGAAAACTCGAATCGTATTACGAAACTCGCGCGTGTGGCCGATAACTCGCGCGTTATCGCGCTCGACGGCGGGCATCTCGACGACGGCAATTCTCGTCATCGCCCATGTTGCTTCTCGTAGTTGATAGCACGATGTATCAAAACAATTGGATAATTCATTCTGTTTAGCGATCTCCAGTTGTGAATTCAAAAGTGAGCGAGAAAAACTCATTTTCGACGTCACTTTGGAGCCGCGACGATCGCGACTAGCGTTGACGCTTCGCGTTTCTTCGTCGTCATCGACGAATCATCGTAATTTTATTTTGCAAACGACGGAAAGTGAAACGAAAGAGAAATGAAAGAGAGTTTTCTCTTAAAATTTACCCCGAAAATCATGTGTAATCGTGGGACAACGTGGCATTTCGAAGAATTTTATAAGAGTCTTTTCAAATTTTACTGTAGATTCTGCTAATAGAATGTACGGCAAGTAAAAGGATTTTATGAGCGAGTTTTTCAAAATGCCGTGTTGTCCCACGATTACATGACTTTCAGGATAAGTTTTAAGAGTAAATTCCCTCCGTGTACTTGTAGTAAGTTGCGTTTCTTTATCTCACACAAGGCGACAAGATGTTAACGGTGTTCTTAGATTCTGTCCACCGATATGTAAACCAGTACGTTTTTTATGCACTACAAAAAAAATGGCCAGGGCACACATTTCGGCGTAATTATTTACGTGGAAGCTCAATTGCGCGGTGAAATACGGTGACGGGGGTACCGCGTGCCGCCGTGTAGTTGCGAATAAATAACGGTGTTTAAACGGGACGACCGTCTCTCGAAAATTATGAGGTCGCCCCGTGGCTGTTGCGGCCCGTGACTCCGGTGGAATCCCGTGTTTTGCGCACGGAAGGGGAGAATGCAGCTGCACCGGCGATTAGTCGAACGCGTGACGTCAATGGCTTGTCTTTGCGAAAGTCTCGAGAGGGAGGCAGCGAGACTCAAGGAGAGCCATTAAATGGTTCCCTCCATGGGAGCACCATTCTCGCACATTTGCCATGCGAGCGCTTCGCCGGCGAAGCCAATTAGATTTTCCGAAGCTCCTTTGTTTCTGCTAACGGAATGTGAATTGCGTCGCGTAATACAAAATGATAAGAGGACAATAAGAGCGCACGAGGGTCCGCTCGCTTCGCCACTGCCCGAGTTTCGAATATAAATGTCTCGGCGTTAACGATCACATTTGGTTGAAAGTGTTGATCGGACGTTTTTCAGAGAATATTTTCACGGTTGGGAGCCGCGGCGGCCGAGTCTCATGGTCTTGGCGCGAAGTGAGTCCAGGAAGGTTCTCCCGAGAGCATCGTTCTTAGATTCCATCAGTATATAGATAAACATTCTCTTTCTCCTCTCGGAGCCTTTCGAGAGGCCCCGGGAGAGAATAAGCAGTACGCTTTTGCCGTGCTCGCTCGTATCTCTTTGGAGCTCCCATCCGTTGCGCTCGTGTACGCGTGCGTTCACGTGCACGTGAGGCCTTCTCGTGTCCGTACGATCAAAGTAGCAGAGGTATTGTGTCCCTACGTTGTCTGAGAGAGAGAGAGAGCGCGCGCGCGCGCGCCTGTGTCTGTGGGCATAATCGTTTATTTCGCGTCGACCTTTGCGGGGCACTACGTCAAAATGTCAGATGCGACCCCGCCTGAGCGCGAGGGAAGATGCACTGGGAACGCTGTAATGGGCTTACAAAGCGTAACAAACTGATGCGAGGTCAAACACACGACGGGCAATAAACACACGTAGAGATAAATGGGCCCTTAAGGTGCACCACACCGGGCCCGCCGGGAGGCGGGCGTTTCGTCTCTCTTTCTCCCTCTTGATGCCCGCGTATCTCCGACGTTTTGCTCGCTCCGCGAGATGAGCGCCGGCGATCCGGGGCCGCGATACCCGAAACACCCCCGCTTGTCCCGCCCGTTTTCGGAAATGAACGTTCTCGCTCGTGAACGCGGCCGTCCGCGATCGTCTCTCCCTTCTGCACTCGCAAACGCTTCAGGTGGATTTATTTATAGATTCCACCTTTATCTGTCTATAAATAAATACGTATTTCCAGATTACATTCGAGATTGCATACTTTTCCGGAATATTAGCATCGCGACTTTTTTTCCCCCCTTTCACGCCGCGACGTATTTCTTCTCGAGCTTTATATCGACTTTCTCTTCATGGGAATTTACGCGGACACTCCGCAATGTTCATAATTCATCTGTAACTTTTATAGACTCCGTCGCGTTTCCCTCGCTCATATTTCTCTTTGCCAATGTAACGGCTAACCCCGGTTTTTACCGTCGTCGTTTGACTAATTGATCTTACAATTAGTTTAAGTCATCTTTTGTCTCTTTTTAAGGAGATGCTGGAGTGATGCTGCACTTTTTGCACTTTTCGCTCCTAGAACTGTCAGTTCATGAAAACATTGTGTAATATACAAATTACGTGGCTTTTGTACACAGATCGACAGTGTCCCACTGTTCGGACTAAATCAGAGAACAGCATGGTATCATTGAAATTAAGTTGTTAGAAGACCAAAAAGAAATCTATTCACTCCAATACGTTATAAGTTAGGTGATCTGTCTCTTCTTGTTGGACTTCTAAATTTAATTTCAATGACACCGTGCTGTTCTCTCATTTAGTCCGAATAGCGGAACACTTTCGATCTGTACGCATAAGCCTTATAATTTGTGCGTTACACAAATGTTTTCATGTATTGACAGATGCAAAAAGTGCGGAAGGTGCAGAATCACTCGAGCATCCCCTTGAGGGGGCAGTTAGAAAGAGACAAAGGGACGAATTAAACCGAGATCGAAGTTAAGTGGCGTCGGTGACTGATCCCGGTTTAACCAAGTTTTTATCTTTTTCCAATTCTTGACACTGGAAGAAGCTAAAAGGTAAGTTAAACCGAGATCAGAGTGGATCTGCATCGGTAGAATTAGGCATAAAGTTTGTTCCATCTCCCTCACTCGGTCTCGTCGAGTCTCGAGACGGTCGCGCGGACAGGCAGGGCGCAGTACGTTTGATACGATTGCCCGTGAGCGACTCGCGGGGCGTAACAAACTGACGCGGGGTCAGACGCATGACGGGCAATAAACACGCTGAAAGATAAACGGGCGATCGGGTCCGGCCCGGGGTCTCGGCGAAAGTGTCTCGTCCGCGGATACGTTTGGCGCGCGTCGCCGCGAACGGTTTTCGCTTTCGCGCGGGTCGATATGAAGAACAACGTATCGTCCGAACTACAAAAGGCGGCCGGGTTTATTGCCTCCCCCTGTGTACGCCTTGTAACGCACGCTCGCGTTCGCTTTACGATCCAGTTGTCGGGGCTCACCTTGCGTCGTTACCGCCGCGCTATCTCCCTGTGGGAATTATTTCTGCCGCGGAGGCGCGATGCTGGGAAACGTATTGCGACTGTCCGTCGTTATCCGCGTTGAGAGACGTCATTTTTTTTTACACGATCCGACCTGATCTCGCGGAAGTGATCGGACAATCACTTGGACTTAGAGACCCTGTAATCAGAAACTGGCCATAAGAATTCGTCAAATTCGTTACGATCGTAGAAGAGCGAGATAGTCTATGTTTCTCTCTCACTCGCAGGAATTTGAGGAACTCTTACAGCCAGTCTCTGATTACACAGGGTCTCTAGCTTGGACAATCTGGGGCGAGATCGGGGACGAGTGTTGTACGATTGATATACTGCGCGTCCCACGAGATAGCTACAATATAGAATGATTGAATGAGCTCTCTGAAGGAATACTCGTAGATCTAATGGTCCTCTTTCTCTCTGCGCGACGCGTCTCCTCGCTTATGCAACGTTACCGCGGCCGGTGCGTCCGCATAGGCGCGATCGCCGGCTGACCACCGCAAAACCACAATCGCGCTCTAATTGCGAACATTAGCCACTTACGGTCGGAGCGGTGCCCCTCGTGGATACTCTCCACGATCGATCTAGCCTTGGCCGCTAGCGACGGCCGCGAGAAACGGCGCCCGCGTCTCGCGCGAGACGTCAGGCGGCGGGCTGACGTCTCGGCGCGCCGCTTTCTCTTCTCTACAATTCTTCTTTTTTTTTTGCCAGCTAATCGCGCCAAACGGCGGTACGTACGATCTACGATGCTCGATTCTCTTTTCAGATGCCGCAGACGGTGCCCACCGCGGCCGGCTACTCGCCGTCGTTCGACTACAGCACTTTTCAGTTCGATTTGTCCCTCCTGCCGGACGATTACAGCCCGACCGGCGGCGGCCAGGTCTGCCTGAAGAGCTCGCAGATCAAGCAGGAGGCGCGCTCGCCGCGCTCGGGATCGCCCACGACCTACCAGAGCCCGCCGTATCCGAACGGCGAGCTGCCGCTGTCGCCCAACTACTCGCACGAGGGATCCTCGCCGGGGTACCCGACGAGCCCCTACTACGTACCCAGGAGCCCTCAGAGCGCCCAGTTTTATCCCACCAGCCCGGAACCGTCGGCCAAGCAGCCGGTCAAAAGGGAGAAGAGCCTCGATCTCCTGGCCATCCTTCAGGAATCCAGGTAAACGTCGCAGCGTCTCTTTTGTTCTATGATCATATCGGAGATTCGCTTAGGGAAGCGTACAGATGCGTGAAGACATTTCTAGTCGACTTTTCCTTTCGTCTCAGTCTACAGTAGATGATTTAAGCGCCAAGCCCTGAGAAGTTGACCAACCACAGTCGAAAATGAGAAGAATACTCGACTGTGATTGGTCAATTTCTTAGGGCTTAGCGCTTAAATCACCTATTGTAGACTGGGACGTTGGTTACGGAAATACCCAAGGACACTTCTTTTCTCGTTAAAATTTGCAGCTCTTTTGGGATTACGTTTGATTGTTACGCGCGGCACGCCCTAAAAGTCGCTAATTGTCCGCATTTAGCGCCGTATCTTGATTTCGGGCACCATTGTTTATCGCGTCATCTTTCTCGTACGCAATCTGTTAACGGGAATGGATCGCGCGTTTTCGCATGATTACAGACTCTTAGCCGAGAGTCTGGGTTACCGCGAGGACTCAACCGACTGCACGGTGCCCTGTACTCCGCCTCGCAGCGAGGAGGATATCTATAACAGCCTCGACGCCGACTTCCTGCCAAAGAAGGAGGACACCGGCGTACAGGGACACCCGTTGCTCAAAGAGATCCTCTTCAAGGAGGAGCCGCGATCCGTTTCCAGCAGCAACGGTTCGTCGCCGTCTTCTTTGTCCTCATCATCGTCGCCCAGCCCCTCGAGCGAGTTCGAGGGTGGCTCGACGCTGCACGAGCTCCTCTTCAAGGGCGCTGCCCTTCGCAAAGACCTGGCGGGGATTTCCAAGACGGGCCAGCCCAAGGTGGAGCGAGAATCGAGGGAGGAGCTGGCGAATCCGCTGCGAAAGGAGGAAGAGCTCTTCAAGGACGGCCAGAAGAGCGATCATCAGCTGCTGCGGGAGGTGCTGAGGGACACAAGTTTCCAGAGGAAGTACAATCTGAGACCCGTCGATCTCGGCGGCGTCGGCACCGGCTTCGTCGAGGACATGGAGGCCGGCGAATGCGTCGGCGACCTCGCCCGCGAGCAGCTCGAGCCGGTCCTCAGTCTGGCCATCCAGCAACTGCAGAAGGACTTCGACAACACCTGCGTGGCGCTCGGCATTCACCCAGGTGAGTCGAGTTTTCCTATTAAAATCCTATCGAAAGTTTAATCAGAATTAAGAACAATACCGAAAAAAATTAAACCAATTAATTAAGAGGGGTAAAGACAAGCTGAGTATCGACAGAAGAACTGAAGTAGTATATGAGATAGATTGCAATAACTGTGATGCATGCTACATAGGACAAACAAAAAGACACCTCCGAACAAGAATTGACGAACACTGCAAGGACATTAAGAAACATGAAAATAATTTATCGGTTGTGAGTAGACACCGTCTAGATCACGATCATGACTTCAACTGGTTAGAACCTAAAATATTACACAACGAAAAACATAAAATTAAACGGGAGGTTGCCGAAATGATTTTTATCAAAAAACACAAGAATACAATCAATTTAAAACGTGACACGGAAAACTTAAATCCTATATATAATAAAGTCCTTGAAATTATTTGACCTTTTCTTTGTTCCAACAGATTTTTAGAATTTTAATGC